CCAAAAAAAAAAAAAAAAAAATGGATATTGCGGTGGTAGCTTCTCCACTAATGCTTTTAGTTTAGAAGTAGTTAAAGAATTTTAAACTCGACCATACATAAATAAATATGCATTATACAAGCAATCCAATGACTGAGATTAGAAATTCTTATAGAATGGTCATTGAACTTGACAAAACGACACTGTTTAAGAGCACTTCATGCCTCCACTATTCCGTATCTTGAATCCAATGACTAATATTAAAAATTCTTAACATAAAATTGATACGTTTTCCTTTGGGTAATGATTTACCCACTCCAATTTTATTCACTTACACTTCTTTTTTAGTTATAAAATGGAATGTAAATGGATAAAATTGGAGTGGAGAAACCACCACTCTTTTCTTTTTCTTCTCTTTTGGTCATTGAACTTGACAAACCGACGCCGTTTAAGCGCCCTTCATGCCTCCACCATTCCACAATTCCAACACTCAAAACACTGTACAACGCATCCATACAAAAACCCAATGGTGGCGTCACTCATGGGACACAACTGCTATCAGCTTATCATCTCATCATCTTCTAAAACATGCTCCTACGTGGCACAATCTCCGCTCCCCTCTCTTGTCTCCGCCTCAGAAGCACCACCACCTCCACTCCCCCTTTAAACGTCTCCGTTTCGCGGCGCACTTCAACCACCACCAACAATTACTCAATCTCCGACCAAGACCTGGACTCCCGAGGCTTCCTCCTCCACCGCACGATCGCGGAGCTCAACCTGGACCACCTCAACAAGGTCTTCGTGGCGGTCGGGTTTCCGAAGCGTGATCCGGATAAGATCCGAACGGCGCTGGAGCACACCGACGCGCTGCTGTGGATGGAGTACAGGAAGACGAAGAGGCCTGTGGCGTTCGCTAGGGCGACAGGGGACGGCGTTTTCAACGCGATCATATGGGACGTGGTGGTGGACCCCTCGTTTCAGGGGCTGGGGCTGGGGAAGGCGGTGATGGAGAGGTTGGTGGAGGAGCTGGTGGCGAAAGGGATTTGTAATATTGCTTTGTATTCGGAGCCCCGGGTTCTCGGGTTTTACAGGCCCTTGGGCTTTGTGGCGGATCCGGATGGGATCCGGGGAATGGTGTACTCCAGAAAACCCAAAAAGAAGACATAAATATTCACTGTTTGTTTTGGTTGATAAATATTCATTTGATAGGTTAATTGTAAGATTTCTTTTGTTTGGTAAATATTCATGGTAAAGATAAGCAGCAAAGCACAGGCCATTACAGAAATTCTGTGCTTTTTTCTGGATTGCTGTATCTCTCATTGATTGTTTCTTGTCTTCCTCCTGAAGAAGACAGGCTTGTGTAGTTTTTGAATTTTTGCAAACAAGCAATTTGGCTCATGATTCTACTGATGGAGTTTCTGAGATTGCGGAATATGTGAAAATCATTAGTTGTTGTTGCAGAAAACTATGAAATCATGTAACTTGTGTCAGCTGCCTCAGGGTATAATATACACAAATACACGAGGGGAAATTCAACCAGACAAAAGAGGAGAGAATGATCTGACCCAAAAAAAGAGAGGAGAATTTTATTGAATCCAACAAAAATACTTCATAGTAAGAGCTACAGTTGAAAGGAAAAATGCGTCAAATTTGCCAATTGAAAGACAGACAAGCCAAAGATTTCATCTTGATGAAGTTAACAGCAGAATTGAAGGACCCAGAACAAGATTGATGTAGCTGACGGAATCTGAATTGGAAATTTTACCTTGAGTGAAGGATCAAGATACGTCCTTTGCGGTTTGCAAGAAAGCAGCAGAGCAAAGAATAGAAGTAATAAACGCAAAAATTCCCAAAACGATCATCAGAGAAATCCCTGCCACCGCCAAATCCAATAGGCTCTGGATGCTCAAACCCATCAAGAACATCATTTTCCTACTTCTTGCTTATAAAAGAATTGTGTAGAAGAAACTCAGGTGTCGCTCGCTCTACCTACATTTACACAGGGCTGAGAAGGTGAGGGCAGAACGAAGGAACAACAAAGGGAGAGAGAAGGATCAACGACGAACGAAACGCAACAAGATTACAAAGAAATGATTCGGGCATTGGGAAGAGGCTCTTCCACTTTTTGGGATGGTGTGTATTGTGATGCTGTTGCAGTTGCACGTGTCTTCCTCGCCTTACAGTTACAGGGATGGGTTGCTGCTGTTCTATTTTTCTGGGCTTTGGTCTTTTTTTTTGGGTTTTCAACTGGGCTTACACTTGTATAAAAGAAAAGAAAAATGAAAAAATGGAAGGAAAAATAATGTTGACGAAAATTTAATTTTATAAAATGTTGACGAAACCAATAAAAGCTGGAAAAATGTATCAAACATTTGATGGCAAGTAGGCTAACCGTTCAGGCAGTAGGGGTGGTCACTCAAATCGGTGAACCGGAAATCCGAGCCGAATCGCACCGAATTAAACAAGAAAAAAACCGAGTTGATCAAAAAGTCAACAACTGGTCAAAAATCAAATTGGACCAACTTTGAATCCAGTTCCATGTCTTCAAAAATCGGACCAAGCCAAACCGAACCGGTCAAATTAAAAAATATATAATTTCAATATATATTTATATTTAATGCTATATTTTTAATTTCACAAAAAAAGAACAATATTTATCCAAGTTCAATTTCAAAATATCTCTCTTTTCTATTTTTTATATTTATTTTTATATGAAATTGAATAATTTGTTAATTTTCAAGTAAAAATAATAATATTTCAGTTGAGAATTGTATTAAGAAATAATTTTTATAATCCAATTCAAAATCGAACCGGACCGAAACCTGTTCAACCCGAATCGAATAGTTTTTGAATTTTGTTTATTAAAATCGAACCAAACCAAACTGGATGAATAGTACCGAATCGGTTTCAATTTGAGGCAAAAACCGGTCCAACCCAAACCGTGCCCACCCCTATCACGCAGTGAGTTCACTTCTTGCATCCAAGTTCGAATTTCTTTCTTCGTTGATTAAACTAATTTAAAGTAATTTAAATTATCATTTGTATTAAAAAAAAAAACATTTAATGTGATTTGGCACTATCTTGGCCCCCGCATTTTACTCTTTTTCTTTTAACTCACACACACAATACGGATGCTAGGATTCGAACCCAATACCTTGCCTGAGGGAATAAATACTCCAAACCACTACATTAGTCAAAGAAGGCACTATTTACTGTGTTGAGAATTTAATGATTTTATCCACAACGGTTTGGATGCGATGCTTCACTTATTTATCATCCGTATGCGCAGTCTGTCCCATGAAATCTCACTCTTATAAGCTCAAGTTGTGCAACCTTAAAATCACTGAAGATTTTGATAAATTTGATCGTGGACAAAGAATAAATTCCTATTACATGTCAATCTTGTACCGCAAACAATCTAGTTCTGGGCCTTGTATGAACATCGTAGGACGCCTCTGGTCGGTCTTACATACAACGTGGAAAAAAAAAAACATTTCCTATTGACGGCTAGTCATTTGTTTCTTGTAAATTTACAAAATAGGCAAACCACCTTATCTTGCTGCATTGCCTTTCAGAGTAGTAGCATTCTTGCCCCAATGCAAACTTCTCATGGATGTAATTTTGAAGCCATCCACTTGATGTGAAGGAGCTGAATTATGAACAGCTAGCTTGTTTCATGGCTCCTTCATGACCCCTTAAACTTTGCTCAGATAGATGAAATCAGGGTTTTGTGGGCTGCATCAGTACAGCCATCATCTGCCATCTAAAGGCCAAATGGTCCAGCACCTGAATGATCAGTTGTTTGAATTCATTATCACTTCAACAGCCCCAATATATCAAGGTGAGACAGGAAAATCAGAGAAACAAAACCCTTTGTTTGGAAGGCAGGAGCTACCTGAGTTTGGCATGGACATGGACATTGGTGTTGGCCTTCTTCTTGGGATATTGCGCAGGTCTGGTGGCATTCTTCTTGGAATATTGGGCAGTTCTGGTGGCATTCTTCTTGGGATATTGGGCAGTTTTGGTGGCATTCTTCTTGGAAAGGGCTGTGTTTCCTTAATGTCGACTACAACAGCATCGGATGTCAGAAAAGTTTTGGCGACTGAGGCTGCATGCTCCAAACAACATCTAACAACCTGTCCAATTTTTGATAGGGGACTGTGACTTTTTCTTTACATTTTCACTCCAGACTATATTGCATAGCATATTTTAACACGCATGATCCCAGGTTATATATGTCCTGAAGTGTTGAAGTTTTCTTCAAAAGACATTAAATATTACAATACCTTTGATGGATCCATGATCCCAGCTTTCATTAGGTCCTCGTAACAGTCTTTGGCAGCATTATATCCATACCCCATATTATCGTTAGATAGAATCTGCAAAATTTAACAAGTTTCAACAGAAGAGTTTGTTTGATCAAATATATCTGGTCTGGTCATAAAGCGTGAAGTGCATTAAGTCTAAAATTACGTTTTAAGAAGATAATGCATTTAACATGCAGAGACCTTCTCTACTACAACATTTCCATTTACACCTGCATTTTTTGATATCAGTTTTACAGGATAGCTTAAAGCTCTCTTGAAGATTTCTGCTCCGATCTGCACACAGTAGATAGAAGATCACAATGGTTATGAAAGCTTAGTGGAGACAAATAGAACAGTATGAAAACATGCATAAGTACATTGAGATATTTTATTGAAATATCTGATATAAGAGTACCTTCTGTTCTTCATTATCCAAAAGTTCTTTAATACCATCCACCTTTTTGGAGAGCCTCAGAAGACTGCAGCCACCACCAACTACAACACCTTCCTCAATTGCTGCCTATATTATGAGCCTGGTTAGAAATCAACCATTTGATATTGGCATTCAACTTCTTGTCAAAATAGTAACAGCAAGCAAGAAGCTACCTACCTTGGTCGCATTCAAAGCATCTTCGATTCTAAGTTGTTTATCTTTTAACTCAACTTGTGTTTGTGCCCCTACCTACGATTCAATTATTAAAACAAACACATCATCTTGAAAGAAAGCCAGTCTTCAGACATTCAGATTATAAAGATGCTGAGTGCATTAAATTTTCCATTACCTGCAGAATAGCAACTCCCCCTGATAATCTTGCTATTCTTTCATTTAATATCTTCTTTTGAAATTCTTCTTCAGTGTTCTGAAAAACAAAAATTAGAAGTGTTGTATTTATCAGAGAATACTACCAATATATTCTACACTTGAGCACCTAAGAAGAGTACCAAGAGATGTTGAATGTACCTCAACAAGCTTTCGTATCTGAGAAACCCTCTTTTCAACAGCTTCTCGAGTGCTACCATCGGTAACTATCAATGTAGAATCCTTAGTTATCACAACCTTAGTAGCAGTACCCAAAACCTCCTTGCCAGCATCTTCTAGGATAATCCCCATCTCATCTCTTACTACGGTTCCTGCAAAATACAAGCAAAGCCAAAATGAAGATTGTGAAGAAGGGTAATGGAGTTAATTAGATATCTAAACTTTGGTGTTTAGCCTACTACCTCCAGTCAAGATGGCAATGTCATCTAAGTAGTGGCTTTTGCGCTCACCAAAGGCAGGAGCTTTAATAGCAGCTGCTTTCAGCACACCTCTGAGTTTGTTTCTAATTACTGGAGCTAGAGCTTCCTGCTCAATGCCCTCTGCAACTATCACCATTGGATACTTTTCTTGCACTGCATTGTCCAATAATTTAAACATCTCCTTCGGGTTTGTAATTTTCTTGTCGACCAAAAGTAACTGCAACCAACGAATTTCATGACTTCTAATTACTTCATAGGAGAATATGTCAGCCTGTATGCAATTTATAGTTCTTACCTTACAGTTTTGAAACTCCACTATCCTTCTTCTTCTATCAGTGACAAAGTAAGGGGATAAGTATCCACGATCAAACTGCATTCCTTCCACAATTTGTAGATTGTTCTCTGTACATTTCCCTTGTTCAATAGTAACCACACCCTTCTTTCCTACTTGAAGAAGAGCATCATAAATCATATTCCCCACAGCATAATCATTGCCTGCACTAACTGCAGCAACATGTGCAAGCTCATGATCCTCAATCTGCATAGTAAAATATGTCATAGGCTGCAAGCTGAATTAATTACAAAATATTGTGTAAAATGCTCTTTACAGCCTAATGTAATGTTTCTGCTATACTTTAGTCATGGTTTTGACAATATCTCCAGAGTTTTCAATCTTTCAAACTAGAAGGAAAAAAGAAACTTTGATTACCTCTCTGGATATCAATTTGAGTTCAGAAACGAGGGCCGCCGCAGTTTTCTCAATGCCACGAGCAATTTGAATGGGGTTCAAGCCAGCTGCAGTAACCTAGAAGAAAGTTTATGTACAATACAAAAATGTTGCCAGAGCTTAACTGAATGCTTGCTCGCATTATAGCAGATGATATGTTTAATTCCCACACAAACTAGTACCACTATTAGAAAATAAAATCGGTCGATAAGAACATAAGCCACCTCACAAACTACACGATAAGCCTCCGTGGCCAGACTAAATAAGTATAAAGATACAACTTAGCACATGAAGAAGTACTTTCCTTCTTCTAGTCAACAGACAAGCTATAAATGACATGACATTCATACCTTCACACCTTCAGTGATTAAGCCATGAGCAAGAATTACAGCTGTAGTGGAACCATCTCCAGCCAGATCATTTGTTTTTGCACCAGCTTGCCTCACCAATTTCACTCCAACATTCTCCACAGGGTCCTCCAACTCAATCTTAACAAGGGATGAAAAACAGAACCAGTTAAGAAAATTAACCCAAATATCAAAAACCCCAATAAGGTTAAATTGGACAAATTAATCAAGACCTGTTTGAGGACAGTTTCACCGTCATTGACAATCTTGGGAG